TTTTTTTTATATGTGTATATAAATATATATATCAAAATGTTTATTCTCCTATTCTTGATATGTATGTATGTATGTGTATGAGTTTTTTTTTCTAAAATAAAAAAACGACTTTACTTTTTGTTGTTATTATATTGTCGAGTTGTTCTCTCTCTCTTTGTTTTTTCTTTCCCATTTGCTCATTTTTAGTAGAGTTGATATGTATAAAACCTGAACACATACATACAGACATTTTTCTTTTTGTTGTTATGATTTTCTTTTCTCTCTTGTTTTTTCATGGCTTGTTGTTCTTAAAAAAAACACGTTTTTTTCTTTTTTTCTTCAACTTCTTCTTCTTCTTCTGTATTGTTTGTCTATTCAACATTTAAATAAAAGAAATTTTCGTATTTTAACTGACAACTTAATATAGATTTAATTAATGATAGATGCATCTTTAAAATCAACACTATTAGTTTACATACGATATACCTCCTGATAAATGAACAGAGTAGAGATCAACTGAATATTTTTTGTCGTCGTCCAAATGATTAAAATATTTTCCAGATTTCTACAGACAAATGCATTATTTAGCTTGTTTTATTTTAAATTAACATATGAAAACCATGAAGAGAAAAGGCCTGATTAACCCTTTAAGTACCAGCGTGTCGTAGGGGGTACGGGTATTGATCGAAAATGACTTCGAAAGTTTTTTAAAAAGTTTCAATGAAAATATTCACGACATACAATAGACATGTTAGAAATAAAGTCCTAACAAAGTTTCATCCATTGGCTGAGCCATGGTACTTAAAGGGCTAATACACCTTCAAATTATGAGAGATACATTTAACTTCTTCACTGTAAGAGATATTGATAATTGATCTGTATGTATACGGTGATAAAAATATTTGAATTGCTCTCAACAATTTATATTGCATGGTAACATATATTATTATTACAATATCGTGAAATCTTTTTATATTAATTGTTTATACAATAAAAAGAAAAATTTCTGAATTTTTTCTATCTATTTTTTATGTTGTATTGATAACCATATTTTAGCATTAATACTATTATGAGAATAACAACCGCTACTAAACAGAACTGGTAAAATTATTCTGACCACCGACAGATACTCTATCACCCACATAGAAACGTAGGATGGAATAATAAATCGTCGTTATCCTTTTCTTATTTTTGTTCTTTTCTTCTATGTATATATATGTGCTCATCTCCTTCGCAAATATTGGTCGAGCATTACTCGTCGCTCGATATAGAACAGTAGTGTTCTTTTAGAATAAATCCGTCGATATATATATATACATATTACTCGGTTGCGGGATGTAAGAAATATTTCTCTTGATATTTTTTTTGTATATCCTATATGGGTTATCCAGAAGAAAAGAGAAAAAAAAGAGATCTGATTGCATCTTTTCTTGTATGTATAAGGGTAGAAAATAACTACATTTATATTCTTTTATCTGCGTATACCAACCATTCTTTTCTCGTCTCAACAGTAGAACTTTGACGCTAGTAAGTCGATACAAAACATATCGTATTTTATCTAAAAAAACATATATATATATTTCGTTCAGTGGCAAGTGGTTCAGCATTTAGTAATGTACTTAAAGCAAAGGAAGATTTACAAAAATCTCCTGAACAATTAGAACAAGAAAAACGTTCGATTATCGCTCAACGTGTACCATCATTAAACATTGATGGCAAATCGAAAGAAGCTCTTGTCGAACAGGTTTTATTGAAACGATCTATCTTATTACTGATATTCTTACTTTTCTTTCTATTAATTAAAAAACAATAGGCAAAACAATTACATAATCTTCTTCATCAATTACATGGTTCAATCTATGAATTAACTGAACGTTTCGAACGACAAAAATATGATGTAAATTATTAAATATAATTTTCAAAAGAATGATCTTAAAAATAAAAATTATTTATTTAGATGGTTGAATTAACTGAACGTGCTCGTCAAATCGAGAAAGGGTAAATATATTTTTTTTATTTAGTTATTATTTTTAATTTTTATTTAATTTCTAGAAAAGCTAAAACACGTAAATCAAATATTGTTCACACTGGTCTTGGTGGTGGCATGTATGTATTACGAAATTTTATCATACAAAATAAAAAAAACAATTTTTTCATTTTAGATTTACTGGTGTTAATGATATTACAGCAAAAGCACCGGTTTGTAATACAGAAAAAATATTTTCTTTTTGTTTGTATATATATATCTAATATTTGTTTTAGCAAAAAGTATCACTTTTTAGTCGTTACGAACGTGGTAAGTTATCCTTGTTTATTTTCTTTATAATGATACAATAATAAATTCTTCTTAGTTACCGATCGTCGTACATATAAGGATCGTCGTGATGTATGGAGTTCAGAAAAGAAAAAATCAGACTTTGTTGCTGAACGTCCAAAAGCTAAAATACGACATAATACACCACCACCTGAAGAAAATCCATTTCATAAAAATAAAGCTGGTGGTGCTACTCAAGCTTCTAAATCGGATGATAATCGTCAACAAAAACATCATGACGAAGAAGAAGAAGAATTAGTATGTTTTAAAAACGAATTTATATGATATAAATCTCTGTCTTCTTTCTAGACCGCTCCACCTCCTGAAGAAGAAGAAGCCCCAGCTGAAGAAGCACCTGCTGAAGAAGAACCAGCAGCTGAAGAAGAGGAAGAAGAAGAAGAATAAATTAATAGATCAAATTGACAGTCATACCTTCTTTGCATTTTAACCCGTTTTTTTCATATTACCTTATTATTTTAAAGTTTTTATTTGAATTATCTAATAAATAAATACAAGATCAGTTTATTCTTCAACAGACATATCTTCATGAACTTTTTCATGTTCAAATGTTTCATTTTTACGTAAAAATTTATAATTTGTTGATGCAAATGTTGATTTCGGTTTTGTTTCATGTTTACACCAATTATTTATTAACGCATAGACAAAATAATATGTACTTATTAAACATGGTAAAGAAAAATAAAGAATTTTCATTGGTAAAGTCCAAAATGTATATAATGTATTTATTCCAATATGAATTTGTCGACATATTCGATGTTCATGATCATTATCATCATCATTATCATCATCATTCGATAAAATACATAAACGTATTGTTGATGATTGATTAATACTAAATTTAAATTTTGATGTATATAATTCTACCATTGATTTAAAATTTTCCTGCTCAATTTTGTATTTACCAACAACAAGAATAGCTAATGGAGTTATTTTATAATAAGCAGTTAGATTGTTTAAACTACATGTTAAATTATAAGTCCCTATAAATTCAATAGGAAAATCTGTTTGAATTTTATTTGATTGATAGATTGTTTGAATTTGAAATGTTAATGAACAATTGGATTTGTTAATAGATGGAATCTCACAAATATTTAAATTAAACTGAATAATAAATAAAAGCAAAAGACAAAACGTACGCAACATATTCATTGAACGTTGTGAAGAAGAAAAAAAGAAGCTGTCATGCGTATCATAATTTCATATAAAATCGATCAAGTTACATGAGCTATTGTTTTATATAAAGGACTTTTTTTTGATTCGAATCACTGAGACATACAGAGATCAATACAATTATTATCATATTTCATATAAATAGATATATTATGCTATAAATATGTATATAAATTACACATCATTATTATAAAATAATGTGATATAATTATTTTTTGTCTTATATTCGTTTATAACTGTTAAATAAAGTTTATATCGATATTAAAATGTATTCCGATGTTTTAATTGAATTTAGTCTACCTAAATCTGGTCAATAAATAATGACATCTGTCGAAAATTACTACAACCATTCGATGATATATTGGTATATACTGGATTATAGATTCAGAAGTACATTTTAATACTCTTTTGCATCATTTAAATATCTTATATGGCATTGTTACGTTATACACTTCCATTATCTCGATTTACTCTTCCATTTGTTAATTCAAATCGAGGAGCTGCAACAGCAACATCATCTGCTGTTGAACATACAACAAATCCACCAATACAGAATAAACAAGAACAAAATACTTTAACAAATGTATCACCATATAAAAATGTTCCAGGAAAACATTACGGTGACAGTAACGTTGAAGTAGCATTAGCTCGTTTAGATGATGTACAAAATTTAATACGGCGTGGTTCAATATGGCCGCTTACATTTGGTCTTGCATGTTGTGCTGTTGAAATGATGCACATGGCAGCACCACGGTAAATTATTTTATTTTATTATATGATTATATATTTATATTTGAAATAATATTAGTTATGATATGGATCGATTTGGTGTTGTCTTTCGTGCTAGTCCACGTCAAGCTGATTTAATGATTGTTGCTGGTACACTTACGAATAAAATGGCTCCAGGTAAAAAAGAAATAACTATTGTCATTTTAGTTTATATTTTTTTTTCTTAGCTATTCGACGTTTATACGAACAGATGCCACATCCAAAATGGGTTATTTCTATGGGTTCATGTGCGAATGGTGGTGGTTATTATCATTATTCATATGCAGTCGTAAGTTAAGAAAATTCTTTTGTTTTTTCTTAAAGAAAAAATATTTTATTGACAGGTACGTGGATGTGATCGTATAATACCAGTTGATATTTATGTACCTGGTTGTCCACCAAGTGCTGAAGCATTACTCTATGGAGTTTTACAATTACAACGAAAGATTAAACGATATGATACATTACAAAAATGGTATCGAAAATAAATAAACTAAATAATAGCTTTATCCGTCTTTGTCTTATTTTTTTCTGTTTCCTGTCAGCATTATTTTCTTTTGCAATTTTGAAAGAATGAATGTAAATAGAAGTATATGTATTTACTTGTAGTTTTAAGTCATTATTATTATTAATACGTTCAGCTCAAAGAGACAAATCAATATCTAAGAAATATATTTAAATAGTATCATATACAACGATAAGTGAGTTGTATTTCAACATATATGAACTAATGAGATACAGTGGCAATGTTTGAGTTAAGTAATATGATCATTTATGATGGTTATAAACTTCACCCAGGAATTATTACATATGTCTGATAAAACACATATCAAGGAATTTCAACGTTCTTCATCTGATATATAACATTTTACAAATAATATTAGCGATTTTCTGTGAACAAAAGTAATATTACATCAAATAATGAATATTCTTTATTGAAAATGTATTTTTTTTTCAAGATATGCTACATTGATATGATAATTTCTAGAATGACATTAAATGTCTATTTAGTATTTCATTTTATTGTGAGATGATATTAATGACTCGCATATAATATATCGAATCTAATTTAAATAAATAAATGAATGAATTGAATAATAATAGTTTACATTGGTGTGTACTATTTAATTTCATCATTATAACGTTTTGTAAAAGATCAAGGTTATGTTCATTGCTTTTATATACACTATTTTTATTTATCAATATTTTGAAGTTATCCGCAAAAATGCAGATTCGTATTTTTTAATAATATTTCTATTTTTCTACCTAGACTTTTTTTCCCTCCGTCAGAGTTGATAATGATATGTAATTTTGAAATAATGTACTTTTTTGATAAGAATAACAACAAACGTAACAATAGCGTAGACAGTATTTTATTAAACTACAAATAATCATCATAAATATCACAAGACGTTATCCGTTTACAAAAAAAAACATAATATCACATGGGTCTTTGTCTTACTCATACTCATTCTTTTTACATGTCGTATGAGTTAGGTAGAGAAAAAAAATATACTCTTTACACATAAAAGGTATAGTTATGCTATCGAAGACTCCTTGTGTGCGGTAACACGATAATAACAAATGATAACGGAATGGAGGCCACAACACTTTCTTTTTTTTGAATTTTCTATGCTTGTTGTTGTTTCATTTGATAGATATACTTAATTTAGTTGCACAGAACGTACCTAACGATAGTAAGTATCGAAAAAAAAACTGTTTGCTATTAAAATGCGTACAGTTTCTTTTTATATAGTTGTTTTCATTTTTTATTTTTATATGACATTAATTTGACATCGAAGTCTCATATATATATTTATAAACTTATGTATTCGATCTTCTTTGATAAAAAATAGTCGTTCTCAATAATTTCCTACTGTTTATTGCACATGGATGATATATTTTGTAGTTATATTTATTGACGATTATTTTATTACTTAGATACCTCTTATAAATAGACAAAAGAAGAGAGAGAGAGAAAAAATAGGTGGATATTGTGAATCGAGTTACATTAATGAATACGTACATTGAAAAATACTAAGGATATTATTTAGTGTATTATTTGAAATGTCACATACAGCGATAGAAAAAAAATTGATGGTGCGCCGGTATACGTTTTGTTCGATAGAAGCTAAAAATAGATGGATAAATACATCAATACATAAGCCACGTATTTGCTTCTACGACGTTGTCAAATCAGTTTTAATTGAGAAATATTTTTTACGAGAAGAGTAAAAAAAAAGAAGGAGACTGATGTTATAAAACTGTTTGTGGTATTTTTTCTGTTCTTTTATCAATCACTTGTTAAAAATCAAGAGAGAGAGAGACAGTGAGATATATATATGTATATAAATATTGAAGAGATGTGAGTATATTAAACAATATTTTATCTTTGATTGATCCTGAAAATGATTCTATAGATAAGATAAATTACATTTAGAATATTGACAATAGATATTTGTTATAGAATTAAGTATAAAAAGGTAGATGATGTTAAGATAATTTTGTTTTTTATTGATCTCCTCCTGCTTTTTATCTTTCCATCTCTCCTATAACGTAATAGATAACCTGCAGTTTTCTTAGTCGTTCATATGTAAGAATCTTCATCTGATTGTGGATAGAAAGTATTTGTAATTAATAAGTACATATTCTGCCCTCTCTTCACTACTCCCTTTTCTCTCTCTCAATCTCTACTTTTTGTATCTCTCGCCTTTTTTCTAAGCGCTTCAGAGCGTCACAAATAAACAACACATAATCAAAAAATAAAAGATAATTTTTTGTAGATTCTCTTCAAATAAAATATTATCAATCATGAACGATGATTATGTTCCATCTCCATCTGTTGATAGTTATACAACACCAATGGAAGTACAAATACCCTTGTTAGAACCATCTTCAAATCATGATGGCACTATTAATAAAGCTGTTAATAAATCTGTTGCTGTTAATACTAATAAATCAGGTTCTTCACCAACTATTGCAAAAATAGCTGGTAATTCCAATAAGTTATCTACTTTACGTGTTTCACAAAATCCAGATAATGAACCTAAAAATCAAACAGTGTTGGAGAAACTATTTCCTATAGGTCAATTATTAAAAGTAGAATTCTATCAAGCATTACTTAGTGAATTTATTGGAACATTTTTACTTGTATTAGTATGCACATCTACTGGTTTACCAATTACAATGAAACAAGTACCTGATATGCATGGTGCACTTGCAGCAGGTTTAATTGTTGCTACTATTGTTGTTGGTTTTGGTCATAATAGTGGAGCACATATTAATCCAGCTGTAACAGTATCATTTCTTGTTGCAAATGAAATTGATATTTATCGAGCATTATTATATATTTTTGTGCAATTACTTGGTGCAACTACTGCTTCGAATATATTAAGATTACTTGTACCCGATCATGCACAAGGTACTTTAGGTATGACAATGATAACAGAAGGTATATCACTTTCGCAAGCATTTATCATTGAATTTCTTATTACTTTTATCTTGTGCTATACTGTACATGCTATTTGTGATAAACGACGTGATGATATTGGTGGTTCAAAAGCTTTAGCTGTTGGTTTAGCTGTTACAATTGGTTGTTTATTCGGTGGTCCTTATACAGGTGCTTCAATGAATCCAGCTCGATCATTTGGACCTGCTAGTGTAATGCATATATGGAAAAATCATTGGATTTATTGGATTGGACCAATAGCTGGTTCCGTTGTAGCTGGATTAATGTATACACGTGTCTTGAGAAAACCAGCATCTGATTCTATGCCTAATACTCCACAATCATCTATACGTCGTGTTCCACCAAATCATGTTTAGAAAACGAAGAAATTCTGGATAAATCTATTATTTATTTTCTCTTTTATTGATGAAAAGTATATTGTTTGACTTTTGTTTTTATTCCTGCTAATAATTGATTCGCATCTCTCTGATGGATTTTTTTTGTATGTATGAGGAATTTTGTTCTTTTGATCCTCATAAATCTCGTAATTCATTTGATTACATGTATCTTTTACTTAGAAATAATCGTAATATATGTTTTATTTTAGATATATTTCAAATTATCATTTAATAATAGAGATTTTATATGTAATTGCAAATATATAAATGTATATCTTCTTTTTTGTCTTTATTTTATATGAAAGCACAGATTGAATATATGTGTATGTGTGGAGTGATTTTTGATTTTGCCAAAAAGAGAGAGAAAAAAAATAGAAATTTTTAAAGTGTGCAAACAAACAAAAAAATGTTTCTATGAAAGTTAAAATAGATTTTATGGGAAATGATCAAGAAAAAAAAAAAAGAAAAATAAATATTTATATATAGATTCCATCGACAAAATAAACACAACACGAATATTATCCATTCTCATTTCACAGACAAACTACTCACTAGACTTTGAAAGAATCTCTCACGCGGGAAAAGCATTCAAGTAGCTAATATTTGTTTAAAAAAAAAAAGAGACGAGAAACATTTTCTTTTTTTGCTATCTCAAAGGACGGATGGAGAAAAATATAATCTGACAAGTATGATGGAAAAAGAAAAAAAGAAAGAAAGAAAGTCACATTGAGTGTGCAATTATAGAAAATGAAAAAATAAGATTGAGGAAAGATTAACAATCAGAAAAAAAAGAAAACATCACACACACACGCACACACACATCACATTATAAGAAAAAAAAAGAAACGAATATAATCATCAACATCAATTGAATGTTATTGATCAAACATTGAATTGAGCTGAACACCAACAATATGTGGCAATTTTTGATGTTTATTGAGCTCACTTGTTGAAGGATATGTTCTTGATGTTGTATTTGTATTATGTGATTGTAGTTGATGATGATT